GCGTATACTGGACTTTTTCATACCGTCACGTTTAAATTGGAGCAGAGAACGGCAACATTGGGAGGCCGGATGGCATTATGTCATCTTCAGCGACGTATCGCGGTTCTGTCTAGGTACGCACGATAGTCGTAGAATGGTAAGACGCATGAATTGGATTTGGGGAGCTATTGCCTATGATAACCGATCACCCCTTCTCTTTGTTCCAGACAATATGAATGCTGCGCGAAATCTAGAGGGCCGTCCACACGTCCTTTTTCAGCAAGACAACGCACGTCCCCATATTGCTCGTCGTACTACGGACTTTCCTCAAGAAGCAGGCGTTAATGTTTTGCCGCGGTCACCCCGTTCACCGGATTCAAATCCCATCGAACATGTGTCGGATATGATGGGGAGGAGACTATCCACTTTGCACCATCCGCCACAGACTCTGCCACGGCTAATCCATGAAGTTCGAGTTAGCATCTCATTTTGTCAATGCCTAGACGTATACAGGAGTGTATTTAGCTGCGGGGTCGCCCGACACAATATTCATTTTTTTCTTACTACTTGTCAATAAATTTGCGTGAGAATGTTTTAGTTTCATTCTTGGAGTAAGACTACCCCATTGCCAAAAAATCAAGTTGAAGAAATTATTTTTCTGGGTGTAACAGTTCTAATGTCACTGAGTATATTTAAAAAACGAATAAAAAGTCCCTTCCGTTTGATTATCAGAAGTCACCCTTTTACTTCGAAACTGTGGTGGTCCAAAAGTCATCCAACGTTATGCACATTTTAGATATTATCTGGACTGCAACTGATCAATATAACAAACGAAAGACTATTACGAGGTACAGCTAGACACAGATTGATGAAAAGGAGAAAAGCATTTCTAAATACTAAAAATCTGAGCTGTTTTTTGTTATATACGAGTACGTTATTTTACCTTTTTGTTGATAAATATTATATGGTGGTGGTTATTGAGTCTTCATGAAATTAATGATGTTATGGTACATGATACTTAAATCTGCTATGTATGTTCTCTTATTTACTGCAGTATTGATTTCCAACATTTCCAAAAGCCCTTTTATACATAGGACATCGCAAGGATTAAAATTAAGCACATGACATTCTGAAAAAATTTGTTGAACTAGATGTGTGTGTCCCACGTTCAGGTGGAAATTCTTACAATCTCTTTTGTGCTCTGATATTCTGGTTCTTAAGTATCTTCCTGTTTAATGTACGGAATTCTATATACAACATTCGATTGTTGTTCTATTGGAATTTTGTCATTAAGTTTTATAAAAAAACTGTGTTTATTGATACCCCATATCCAATTAATTACAAGAAATTCATAGGGGTCATTAGAAGAATGCTATACTAAATATTTTTTCTATTTGTTTCAGGTCTCTTGGTTGGGACGAGAACGCCTGCAGTGAATGTGAGTTTTTTAATTATACTAAATAGTGTAACATGAAACTTTAGTGTAAAGCGCAGATTAAGTTTTTAGGTGCCTAAATTAAAGAATGGACGCAGGCTTATGGAAAAATACTGTGATTCGAATGCACTAAGATGCAACAATTTTTTTGCGGTTTTTCTAAAATTGTTGCCAAATATGGCTAAAATATGGTTTTGTTCTTGTTTTTTAAGCAGAGCTTTTACGAAAAAATGTTTTATATGCATATCCCCCGATCGATTATATCTTTTTTGATTTAATTCAATATTTTAATTATCTCTTCTTGAGAGATTATTAGGCGTGCACCACCTCCCGGTCTCCATTTGTCACCAATGTTCTGCCTAAGCAATCTACCGTGTTTCAAACGTCCTCTACCTTTTTCAATATTTTTTATATGGCAGCATTGGAAGTAGCCCTTTTATCCTTGGTAGGCTGCTTGACTATCTTTTGGTTTGCTCCGTGTATTTGCACCTTATCCGCAATCTTTAGGATACATGGTCCATGATATGGACCAGATCGAAACAAAGCAAATGTTTTCAGCGTTCGCCGTTCATTTTGTTTTGACACTACCTAGGATGACTGATCGTAGCACAAGCTAAGGCAGGCTACAGCGTTATTTTTGTTCAGTAGAACTACTGTTTTCATCGGGACTGAAAGAGAACCTTGAAAGATCTATCGACTTCATCGATCTTTTTCACCTAGGGACTACTAACAAATTCAACCTAATTGAGTATGTATGATTTTACTTGCGGCGAACGACCCTTCAATGCTGATGCCTCAGAAGGAACACGAACATGCCTTCGCATTGAAGGGAGGAAATGTAACAGTGAAATGTAACGCTTTCACTGATGATGTTCAAAACATACATTTTAGTTTTAGAGGATAAAAAAATATTTGGAAATCATACATGAATGATTCATCAAATGTTTTGGTGGAAATTCCACAAATCATATCTACGAGTACATACTTAATAGCTTTAGGTATTTCTATTTGCATACTATCTATGTAGAAACTTCCACGACGATTTGTCAATTCATATGAATATAGAGAACTACTAGCATTGCGCTTTTGAAACATTCAAAGATTGCTCAAGATGCTTTTTTAAGTAATAACTTTGTAACCTGCAATACTTTAAATTAACTCTTGAAATCGTATATGACATATAGAGAAAAATAGTTTTATACTCGCAGAATATGTAGAACGATATACGTACCTAGCTTGTACTAGAATTATTTTAAAAACAAATTTGTCATTTTCACCAGTGTGATCTCCGAAACGGTAAGAGATACAGGTCGATTGAATGGTGGTAAAGTTGCGTATTTATATATTTTCGAAAATTCATTTGAAAAGTTCTGACTCTTTCAACATCTCCAGAGATACACGGAAAAGGGAACGAATTTTCCCAAAATCGTTTATAATTTTTCTGAATTTATTTCAAAATAACCTGCACATTGCCACCTTTTACAATATAGAACATTAATATTATTTTTGTCGCTTATCCCCCGTCTCCACTTTGATTTTTCTTACGTATGCCATTTTTTAATAGGCACGTAGCTTTCAATGCTGATTTCAAATTTTGCATGTCATATGTCATACATTTCTATAAAAAAAAATTTCCTGAGTAAGCCTTGAAATAATCATATAGTCATTTATTTCATACAATATCAAAGATTATACCATTTTAAGCATCGATATAAAACTTCAAGTGCCTCACTTCATATAGTTGGTTTAAGCTCATCGAATGAGAATAACGAAAACGGTATAATTTAAAAAAAACAGAGAACTGAAACGTCAGATCGAGACTGTAATTTTGCCATCGTGTAGAAGAGAAAAAGTGCTTATATTGTTGTGTAATTTGTAGAAAATATGGATGTTTGAAAAGTTTTGTATCGGGCAAAATCCAGGAAAAAACAAAAACGGTATAGAGTAAATTCGGAAATAATTTGAATTTCTAAACCGTCCAAGTTCCATTTTTTTATTTACCTAAGCAACTTGCCCCCATGAGGTACTCCGAGTCTCTCAGGTGAATGTCACAAGATCAGTATTTACTGAGATCCGTCAATATATTTATGATGAAATATGATATATATACAGGGTGGCCCATCCATCTGTGGACGGAATATTACTCATAATCAAATACATTTTGGAAAAATCTATTTATGGCATGTTATACATGATATTTGAGGGCACATTTCTAAAATATTGGCAATTATGCAGGGTGTCCCAATTTTGACCTACATATCAAAGTTGTGATTTTTTAAATGGAATGCCTCAAATTTTATTGCATATTTTGATAAACCAATTCAAAAGAAGAAGATGGATGTAACATACTATGGGGTTTTGGTAATTAGCTACTGTGTTTTGTCTAGAAAAACCCTTCACTTCGGCAACCCCTCAGTCTGCCATTTTGAAAATTGGAGTGCTGAATTTTGTATCAAAAAAAACTTACACACCTCAGCTTTTATCTTATTTGTCACTTTTTCGAATTTTCATTTTCGCTCATACAGGGTGGTCAAAAACTGAAATTGTAGTTTAACATACCATAATTAGATTTTCCCAAACTGCATTTGTTTATGAGTAATATTCCATCCACACATGGATGGACCACTCTGTGTATATATATAGAAATCCACTCTCCACTGATGGTACGGACTACAATAGATACTGATCGTGTGACATTCGTTTTACCTTTACTGAAATCCCAAAGGCAAGGTTCGAATTTGGAACATAAGTAACATAATAGTGATCTTAGCAAAATCAAGTTTATACTTAATATAAATTTTAAATAATCCTAGTAATTTCACATCTAATAAATATCGTTTCAGCTTGTGGAGAACTCTGAATGAATAATTTAATTTTTGTAGAAAATTTTCTCTTCTCAATTTACTTTTTGCCAAGCAAATACCAACCTCCCCCCCCCCCCCCCCCCCGCTCCCGGTGAGCCCGACGTAAACATCAGATAGCGTCATGAGGAATTATTTACAATCAAATCCCTTAAGACCTCTCAAAAAATGCAGGCCTAAGGAGTTAGATTAACAACTGAAACCTTCAAATTACTACCACATTGTTTAAACTATACGAATACATTAATAAGAACATGTTGAAAATGAAAAAGTCTGACTATAATGCAGTTGCGAATCTATTCAAACACAGTCAATTCATATGATGCAAAGACAGTCCCCGCGCAAGATACCTATCTCTCAAGATTTTACTTTCCACAATTTTCAACTTTTTATAATACGCAGTAAGTGTGTGGAGTTCTAAATCATATTCTATGCATATTCGAAATTCCGGCATTAGGGTACATAATTTTCATTGTCCATTCTATCAGTTGCGTAAAGTGACTTCAGTGTGGCATAGTGTCAGAAAGAAGGGAAGGAAGGATAGGTAATCACCGAGAGTTCTGTTTGAAAGTCATAAAAAGATACTGAGGTGTCCTTATGAAATCGTTTTGGCAAACGTATAGGTATCTAGGATTCTCGACGGACTTTATGTTTTCCTTTGCTTATCTATTTGCGACGGTTTGTCTAGCTAGATGCTATCAAAATAATATGTATTTTCAACTTACCTGTGCTGTAATGGCACCTATGCGACGAGTAATCCACATACTGATGCTGGTAATGATCAGGAGGCGAGTTGCTGTACGACATGATTTAAAGCAGTTCTGTCCAACACACACTGGTCGAAGCCTTTTGCAATAACACCTTTGCCCAAGAGACAGCACGTCGAGTGAAATCCCGGATCCCTTGAAAAAATATTCTTAACGCCCTTCGAAAGCGACCGTATGCGACAGCACTGTGGCTGACTAGTCGCGTTGGCTTGAGGCTCATTCGGGCTCTTTGATGCGTGGGAGTTTCCTGGCAGCCTTGTTATTGGTTGCTAGTGCTTCGTGGGGGTGGGATTTGCAATGTCCACGCCCCTTTTTGATCAATATTCTTTATCAAGATTCACTGTGCTTAGTAATGCTTTCATTTTTATCAGCTAAAGTGTGTTATTTATGTTTATGTGCTCAAGTTGTGGCAAGATGCGGTATGTATATTGGGAGATATGAGTTAAGTATATAAGTATTTGTAGTATCTCAAATTACAGCTTGGTTTTTGGGAATTCATCGAGCCTCCATGGGGAATAACTATTAAAATAGCTTAATCATTTTCAGGTACAAAAATAAGTAGATATGGAAGATAATAATATAGACATATAGACAATAAGAAAAGAGGGATGACACATTGAAACTTCGTTTCTAAAATACCATTATGCAGAATGGAAAAGAAAAGTGGTTTTTACTGAAGCATCTGTTGATATTTAGATAAGGTATGCTTTATATTTTTTGAGAATTGGTCTAGTGGAATAATCGTCAAAAAGCTAATAATTTTGCTCACTGTATGAACTGAAGAATAAAGCACAAGAACGATGCAACCAATACGGCAAGGACGTAAAAGTTTTATAATGCAGAAATTCAGACAATTGTTGGCAAAGAAGATAAAGTCGCACGTCCCTTTTTTTCCAAAGCCTATTTGGAAGAATATTCTTGATACCTTTCGTCTTATTGTTTCATGGTTTACATACTTAGAGATGACAGAAAAACAATTTTATCAATCTCTTTTTGTAAAAAAATCATTTTTGTGCATTTTTTCTTCGATCGTACCTTGTTTCGAATAATGGTAGGTACAGCTCTGAAATTGTATGCGAATGTTCCAATTTTATAGTAGAATTGAGTAATTACTTTTTTCTTTAGCTTCAAAAAATATTTGCAAATCTTAGGGTCGTATCGTCAGTCGTTCCTACAATAATTGTAGGACGCCTTTATGGCCTCCTTGATAGGCGTCCTACAATTTTAGGAGCGACTGACGATACGGCCCTAAGAAACCCATTTTTCTGGAAAATGAGTAAACAAAAAAAGGTAAGATTTTTTGGAAAAAAATGGTAAGGAAAAGTAACCCGCTCAAGTCTACTATAAAAGTGAAATATTCACATACAATTGGAGAGGTGTACTATCATTTGCTAACGACTGAAGAAAAAATGCACATTGGAATGCACTTTTTGACAAAAAAATTGACAACAGCAATTAATAAGTGTTTTAGTCATCTCGCACTCACCATGGAATAATCAGATGAAATGTAAAAAATTCCTCCAACCAGGTAGTTTTCTTGGTTTATATTTCCAGAATGTTGGAATACCATCCGATGCAATGAGACACGATTTTGAGAAGAATTATAAACCGTCTATGTAGCTTCCGTGTAGTGATATCAGCAGTGACATAGGTTGCTTCGGAGAGGCCTGTGTCAAAATGTGTCGGGAACCCCACCCAATTGTGACGAATCCCAAATGGAGTGTAAAATGAGTAGGCGAAGACATTTTTCATAAAAGAAACAAAAACGCTTGCATTAAATAATATGAACAAATAGTTACGAATTGACTAACTATTGATTTTTACAATTAATGCTCCAAAATGGGTAAATAATTTTATGCTTTTCTTTTGAAGTTTACTCGGAAGTGGTTGATAGATTTGGATGAAATTTGGGGAGCAGCACGCTGCGGGATTAAAGTAGGTGTTACTAGATATAATTTTATTATACATATTCAATTTTGAAACAGATTCGCTACGTTACCAAAATTTTTTCTTGTATGTTTTACAATTTACAACCTTCTGGAAAGTTTGGAGTAATCATACATTTTTTATAAATTTCTGACTCACAACATAAAACTGAATATTTATCTTTACTTACTGAAGGCCAGATATATTTTGAATTTGAGACTAAATCATTTTGAAACGCAATCACTTCGATTTCTGTCGCAGCTATGTCTTCGTTAAAATTCTGCGTAACAGCGGTTGAAAACTGTTGGATATCAATTTCCATGAAGAGTGAAACAACAAATTGCGCGACTATAGCAATTTCGTTGAAATCTTTGAAACGATTTATGAAGTTATCTTCAAGTTAGAAGTTAGAGACTATTTCTACATGGCATTTACTTTCTTATGGTTCTAATGGACTTTGAGATATATTTTCTGAAAGAACAGGAAAATGCTTGGTATCGCCACCGATTGAGTTTTGTTCCCAAAACGCAAGCTTTTTGATAAACGCTTTTATATCAGAAATCATTTCTGCTAGGTAGTTCTGTGCCTCTCCCCTGAAGCTGCAAATTAAGTTCATTTAATTTTTCTGTAATATCCACAAGAAAACCAAACTGTCTAAGCTAGATTGAATTTTCCAGTCCCGGAATCGGTTCATCACGTTGTTTGAAAAACTGAACTATGGCAGATATGATAAGTATCATTAAAACGTTTCAGCAGTCGTCCCCTACTTAACCATCGGATTTCAGAGTGAAGAAGTAGTTTCCCGTATTAACAGTCAATTTCATCGGCCACCGTTTTGAATAATCTTCTTTGTAACGCTTGAGCTATAATCTTGTTCACCATTTTTACTACCAATTTCATAACGTTGTTTGGTTTTAGAAAATGTCCATATAATGATTGCTGGTGGATAATTTAGTGGTAACAGAGAAATTGCGGAAAACTTTGATCTTTACAACATAACCCCACGACGCACCATAACTGGAGCGCCATCGGTTGTTAAGCTTACCTTTTTCGATATTGGAATTTTCTCAGAAATTTAAAAAAAAGAAAACAAGTCCTGCCCAGTGTCTGTCCTTTTAGTGGAATAAACTTCAAAAGATCTTCTTTAGTCGTAAAATCACTAAAAACCATCTTGATGAACACGGCCATCTGAGAGGTGTCCACAACATCTGTGGAGTCATCCAGCTGCAGTGAGAAATAAGCACAGTTATCGAAGTCATTTCTTAACTGTAAAACTGTATCATTGCTCCTTACTTCTACTCGTCTCATCACTGTATTGGCAGAAAATTGCATAGATTTTATAGCAGACACTATCACGTCTTTATTTCATTTATGTTTTATCCTTTCCCTGTCTTCATAAGGTTTCTTCTTTTGTGGGACACCCGTTATGATGCTTCAGTTACAGCCTTACTTTTGTCGATTGTTTTTAAAAGCATTGTCTGTTGTCCAATTAATCGATTTTTTAATTGTTTCAGTCTTTTCATTCTAGTTGCAGAACGTAATGAGAATGATTTTTCGAAATTCGAATGTACAGTTTTATAGTGTCTCTCGATATTCCCTTTTTTAGCAACGGAAGCAGATGTATTACATAACAAACATACATTTTTACCTTTAACTTCTGTAAAGAAATATTGTTCTTTCCCATTCGGAATGGAAATGGTATGTCTTCATCTTCTCACTACTGCTCATAATGTTTTTAATTGCAGGCCAATTCTAACCCAACTGCTGGACTTCATGCCGTTCAGTTTTAAACTGAGCGCACTGTCGCCGCGCCTTGCGTATTTATTCCGTTCAAAGTAATCGAGATCGTTCTCGAACAGATCGCTTACCGCAGCGTAAATTTACGGAAGCTTCTATGTTTTTCACACCTTCTTAAAATATGTTGTGAGCCACCAGAATTGACTTTACGAGCTATCGGTATCTCGCGATCGACGAGTTGGCGACCACTGGGCTAGAGAATAGTCATAATCATTATAGAGCTCAACAGTTTTTATTCTTTAGAACATTTTTGGTATACATAAATAAATTTATATCAATATTTAATGGTACTCAAAGGTACTATATTTGTGTGGCAAGGACTTTCAGTTTGTATTTAGGGAAAGTTTAAAAAATAGACATATATGAATGCTCGGAAAGTACCAGTCAATCTTTTTCGGAAAACTTTTTTCATTAAATCATATATAGCTGAAAACGATATTAGTGTTTCGAGATGTTCTTCCTCTGAGGACAATACCAGGTCTGATAATATACTAAGTGACATATAAATCCGAACACCCAGTTTAAATGGTTTTATTTTAATAAAATTTTGTATAAGTGCTTAATGAAGCATAATAAGTAAATGATAAAAATTTCGAAATGATTGCACTGCTTTAAAGCCCTTTGACCTTTAATAATGTGTGGATGCACCCTGATGTGCTACGCATTCTCCAACGCGCCTAGGCATGCTTCTGATCAGGTGGTCAATCTCCTCCTGTGATATCTCATTCCAGGCAACCACCAACTCCTCTCGAAGTGCTTCTAGAGTCTGAGGAGGACGTTGCAAATTGAGCAATCTCCTACCCATCATATCCCACACGTGCTCAATTGGGGATAAGTCGGGAGATCTTGGTGGCCATGGTAACAATGTGATATCATTATGTTGAAAGAAGTCTATTGTGACTCTTGCAACATGTGGTCGGGCATTATCTTGTTGGAAAGTTGGATCTGCCAGGGTGTCAAGATAGGGTAAAAGATGGGGTTCTAGAACTTCGTGGATATAACGCTGCGCGTTTATGTTACCTCTGATGAAGATTAAAGGTGACCTGGAACCATAAGCTATAGCACCCCAAACCATAACTCCAACAGTGTGATGAACATGTCTTTCAACAAAAAACTGTGGATTCCTCCTTTCACCACGTCGCCTTCTAACCCTGGCACGACCATCGTGCATGCCTAAACAAAATCGAGACTCGTTACTAAAGACAATACTGTTCCATTCCTGATCCCAGAGTGTCCGTTGTCTGCACCACTCAAGGCGATTACGCCGGTGTTCTCGAGTTAAAGGGAGGACCCAGTGTGGCCGGTATGAAAACAAGCCAAAACTTCTCATTCGTCGGTAAACACTTCGCATGCCAATAGGTCTTCCATGTTCTGCAAACCATTCATTTGCAATGGACCTGGTTGTGGAGAAACGGTTCCTTAAGGCCAATAATCTTAGGCGGCGATCTTCACGGCCTGTTGTTCTACGGCGGCGTCCAGTGCCCCTTGCTCTTTGCGTACGGCCTTCTCGAAGCCATGCCTGACAACACCCAACCACAGTGTCTACACTTCTTTGCACTCTAACTGCAATTGCCCGAAAAGAAAGTCCAGCTTCCCGAAGTCCCACTATACGGCCCCTATCAAACTCACTAAGTTGACGAAATCGTACAGGTCTCCGTACTCTAGTGAATTAAAAAAAAAATCAGTATAAAAACCGGAATGTCCAACTGATAAGGCTGAAAATTTTTTCACTTGTTATTTACAGTAAGATAAATACATTCACCAACTTTTATTAAAATAAAACCATTTAAACTGGGAGTTCGGATTTATATGTCACTTAGTATAATTTAATCACTTTTAATTTCCAAAAGTTTCTTCCAGCTGTTGCAGTTTTAATCTGGAGGCTCAAAAATAGGAAGCCGTCTATTATCACTTAGCCACAAAATCTGAAGACTTAGCACGGATTTATAGTTTGGCGTATCTAAAAACTTGTGTTGATTTTTCACACATCTGAGCCTGTGAGATGGGGGCCCCGTATCGTTGATATGGCTTATATGACGTTTGCTAAGAATCTGGATAACAGCTATTGAAGCAACTTATAGACAGTCAATATTAATAATGATTCTGTAAAATTACAAAAATTTTCAATATCGCTGAAAGGCTGAGATCCATCAGAATTACTAACTGTTGCCATTACTCACTGCGAAAAAGTTCAAATGTCACTTGCTTTCCGCCACTAATTCATAAAATGTAATGATTCTGCTATTAAAAAAAGGTTGATAGCAACTATTTGAAAAATGGTGAATGTACTACATTATCAATGCACGAGCTTTCTATTATCATGTAGGCATGGGAACAAACTTTCGCTCAGAAGCTTTACAACATAGCGAGGACATTTTTGCAGACTAAGCTAAAACAAACAACATAATATAGAAAAGTGAATTGTATACTCCAAAGGAGTCAACACGACTTGTTCCTCCCAGTCTGTAGAAATTACTGAAGGTATAAATTCCATAAATTATGACAGAAGTAATCTATCACCTTAGTTCTTTCGTTCGTTGGAATATAACACCAATACTTGCTTTTCTGATATATGAACTGACTAGCTATTCTCCTATATTAAAGGTGGAATTGTTCAAATACTTTTTAACATATCTACTTTGAACTGTAATTTAGCTTGTCCACATCTTTATCCGTTTGGAGTGACATGCTCACGTTGAAGTGTATCCTCAATAGCAGAGGCAGATCCAAGGACTCAAGGGGGACTCGGATCGAACATTATGTTTCCCCAAAGAAGATAAAATGTATGCTTCCAAAACTATGCCGTTCCAGCAGCCGTTTTTAAACTATAGTGGACCCCCCTACGAACTTTGTGCTTGGGGTCCCACAGATCTTAGATCCACCACTGTCAGATTGTATACAAGTGAGTAAGTATACTTTATTAATATTGTTGAACTTCACTCGTACTTTTGAGACTCTGAATCATTTTCTTTTATTGAAAATATTAAAATTCATAGAGCTAGTTCAAAGTGCAGTAACTTTTTTTCAATAACTACCTTAAAGATAGGCAGCAGAGGGGTGGTTTTAAGTGGCAAATCGTCAAGGTTCATGAATATTTCATCCGGAGTACCTCAAGGTTCTGTGTTAGGCCCTTTGTTGTTCATCATATATAAAAGTCAATTAGCTTCAACTCTACAACATACATCTTTATGCTGATGATACGTAGTTCTATATCTCGTTCAACAGAGAAAACGTACGCGAAATTGAATATTGCCCTCAATCATTTCATAAACACGGTCACAGATCACTGAAGTACAATGCAGATAAATCAAAAATATTGTTATTTGGTCCTAAGCTGCACAACAACAATGTAAAATCATATATTCAAATACAAATTGGTGAGGTAAAATTCCCTTATCAGAACAAGTTGAAAGTACTTGGAGTTGTACTTGATGTGAACTCAGGTTTAAGTCGCATATAAATGAACTGTTGCAAAAAACGTATGCTGCCTTGTAGCTGATTTATCTTGACCGAAAATATGTTTCTAAAAAAACTAAAATCTATATGATAGTCTGGTTCTATCAATTCTAAATTATGCTGATGTTCTATATGGTGCCCATTTAACATCTGTGTATAAACAAAAAATTCAAAAAGTGCAAAATTCTTGCTTAAGAGTCTCACAAATTATATGATATAGGGTGGCTAAACATGTATAACAGACGGATATTGCACGCGGCTTATTTATATCATCGATTAATAATTGCTAAACAGCCCATATATCTTTTCAATAAAATAAAATTTCGCACCGATGTTCACACTTTAAATGTAAGATTTAAGGGACTACTGTCTCTTCACCATGAATTTTTCAAACGAAGTGTCACCCACCAAATGTATAGTGTGTACAATGGTTTTTCGCAAGAAACCAAAACACTTAATATTGTAAAATTTAAGAGCCATGTCAAACGGACATTATTTAGCAAACAGAGCTGATTATTCTATGGACAATGCAAGTTTAATATTAATTATTATTTTTGTTTAGTGAACTTCGCCCTTCACCAAACTCTCTTTTTTATATAAATGTAAGTTTGTTTGGTGATGTTTGGCGAATGAAGACGTTTATTATTATTATTATTATTAATTATTATTACTACTTATACTTCATGTATCCGTATTGCCTTATATTCAGATCCCACGTAGTTAATTATGATTCGGTGATAGGAAAAATAAATAATAAAGTCCAGACAAACAAAATAAAATACTTTAATTAGTCACTAATCAACGCTGCTCTCTACATGAGCCGCCCTTTGCGTTTTGCTGACAATCTGGACTTTCCTTCTCTCTCTGCCTGGATACCAAAGGTCCCTCTCCATCCATTCCACAGCTGCATATCCCGTGCATCCTACAACCAGCAGGACCAACAACCAATAGATGATCGACTCCGTACACAGGTATGGACTGATCGCGTATGTCAGCACGGATCCCGTCGATTCCCAGAGTCGGAAGTTGCTGTAAGCTGCTTCTTCTTTGCCAGGAAACATTGTACCGCTCAGAGCTAAATATAAATATTACAATATGATAATATGTGTTGAAAGCTTTAGGGCCGATTTCACCAACATTATTATTATGGACCAATAGGAAAATACCTTATCGAAATGCAATTTGACGGAAGCTGTCAAAGGTCTCAGAATATCAGTGATTTCTATTAAAATGTTGAATAAAATCGTGAAAATTCGACTGATTATAAACAAGACCACTTTTTGATTCCAACATGATGCTTTTGTACAGAGAAAACAGGACAACTTTCATGTATTTTGATTTATGTTATAGGTGTACATTTGACCATCCGTTATCCCCTCAGCGAATGGGAATGGGAGAAATAATAGGTCGATTTTCTAGCTGTTAAATTTGGCAGCAGGTTTGGTCGTTTGTTAATTCATGGCAATCTCGAAATTTACATATACAATACAATATACAAATATCTGTTGAATTGTGCGGATTTGCAAGAAAATAGAATATAAAATGTATTCCAACCAATTCCTCATTTCTCTTTACATCATAATAGTAATCATTTGTTATAAATTCATGGGTTAATGAATTTCTTCAAAGCAATCAAAACAGTATGTCGTCCCGATATGTGTAAAACATGTTAATCCCTACATCTCCGAGGTGCATAATGCCATTACTGTAGACAGACCTAAAATTATTAGTAATTACTGAAAAATAATGTCGGGTTCATGCACGACTTAACGTAACCGAATTTAAGGATCAGCTGTTTCTACACCAGTGTCCTCCACATGTTTCGCCCCCAGATGGTAACTAGCTAGTGATTTCCAGTGGTGGTCAAACGTTTTGGTGACGTCACAGCCATTTTTTGACATGATTCGGGTGGTTTCGGAACTCGTTTTACCCTTGGATAGCCCTTTCTATACTGTTCTATGCTCGTAATGACGTAATTATAATAATTCTGTGGTGTCTCGTGTTCCACGACGATTTACGGTCAAAGCCAGGCGGTGAATCATCTGTTGTTTTTGTTTGAGTAGTTGACGAATTTGCGGTAGAGATTTGTTTTGGTGTTCGTCTTCGGGTATGTTTTTTGCCTTGGACTTGTTTTTTGTGCGATTAATTGAGGATGGCCATGCCTAGAGCAAAAAACACGAGAGCCGCGCTGGTATCAACTCCTGACCGTGGTGAAAGGGTACCTGCAGAAGGCACCTGAACGCAATCGGACATCGCCAGAGGAGCGCCTAATGATGACGTCGTGTACACGTTAAATCTGCACAAACCCCTAAATACGTGGTTATGTTGAATGTACCATCACCGATGGTGCGACTGATTATACACTGAAATTAAAACAAAAAACTGGAACTGCAATTGTATGTATGAATGTTGAAACTGTTGAACAGTTTCGGACCAGTGGGGTTAAAATATCGTTGAGGAACGGGAAAGAAGTGTATGAATGTGTTGAAATGCAACACCTAACAAAAATTGGAGTGAAAAGGCTTTTTCATGTAAGGGTTTGGAAGTGCAAGTTTACAAATATAGGATAAACTATAAGCACACAGTAGGTGATATAATAACATATGGATTACAAAAGTTGCAGTAAACATAGAAAAACCTTCAGCTAATCTGAAAAAATGGATTTTACTCAGACATCAGGCATTTTTAAAAATTTTGGCTCAGTTTTACATAATTTCATATTTAATAAACTGAAAAGATTTCAATGGCAAGCTGTCACTTCATATTTTACAGTGTTTTGTTTTGAATACTTTGATGCTATTTGCTGCCAAAAATTTGACGGAGAGATCTTGAGGCTGATTGGGTATATTTAACTGACTGTTTGGTACTCGTACCCTATTGGTGCAGAATAATGGTTTGTTAAATTGTGTAATCCACCCTTTTAGCGAACTATTTGTAGGCGGCAGTTATCAGTGTTTGCGCACAACATACTGAGTTTTTCAGTGGACCATACTTGCTTGTTTGGTCTCCACACGATTAGGCCTATAGCGTATTAATGATTTCAAAGAGCATTAAATAGGTGCCAATCCGCGGTTCCGGGCCCGCCGAAATATTCAAATTTAAAAAAATGTTTTTCAGTTTGCAGACTTCAATTGTCAGTTGCTGATACCTCCCTCTCTGGGTCAGGTACCTTCCTGGACATGAATCCCAGCACTTTTTGAACGGGTTTTTTCAAATGTATCATTTTGGACTCCTCCAAAAAGTATTCGCCATTTGGCATGAAACACCGTTATATGCGGCTGGTCTGGGTTATCGAGGCAAAAAGCAAAACAGATGCCGCAGTATAGGTGTTGTTTTGAGACTTACGGTTTTTGAAAAATAGTGATCTTTGGAGACGCATTTATGTTTTAGTGGAGTAGTAAAAAAATGAGTGAACTATAATCGGATTAAATTCTACTCCACGTGGTTCTCTTGTCATTTCAAAACACCCTGAGTAAAGGAGAAGTATTTTTTTCTCGTAATTCGTCAATGGTTTCATACACTAAAGATAAACTTCGGCAAAATGTTCCTATGGGACGCTTTTTAGGAAATATATACAGTGTATCGTAGGTACAACTGCAACAATCCATTACTCAGTTGACGTGGGACAGTAATGAAAATTTGGGTGGTGAATGTTGAGGCGATACTTCCACTTTTGCTAAACCAGATACTAAACTGTCTATTTTAAATAGAATACCCTGTAGATTATTCAATTGTTGGATTCTACTCGAGATTGTAAATTCATTTCATGTATACCTTTATCTAAGTCTAACCGTTTTTGAAATATTCCAAATTTTACATAAAAATTGCAAATGTAATCCAACGAATTGCAATTCCTTCTCGAATATTCGCCTTGCCATTTGATTTGTAACGAGTGTCTTATAGCAGGGAATCTACATTAGAAGACACTATTCCAGATTCAGGTGACAAATAGAGTGGTAAAAAAAATAGACACAATAAAGTCAAAAGTTCTGATCCATCATTTTTTTAGAATTGGTCCAATAGACTACATTTTTGCTATTTTTTTCATTTTCCACCTCTATACTATGTATCCTTTCTGTGTACGTAAAAATATATGACGATCTAAAAATTGTAACAAATCGCTATAAAACTGTTATATAGTGGATACCAAATAAAATCCGATGCACGCCATAGGTGATGTCATGGTTACCAACAGTTGACTACATTCAATGTGACATTTCTACTTGAAGTTTAAATTTCCCCGTCTCGATTCGGTTGGTAGTGCCGTGCAGAGAAATGTGAGGTTGCCACTTCTCATTTGTTGACATCAGTTGCCATTGTCCTTTTGTCGTACTATTAGTTCTTTATTGTTTAGTTTGTGAGTTTTGCGCTATTTGAGCTTTAAATCGTTGCCTTGCCAATTAAAAATTGTTCTTTTCAGAACAACAGTTACTGTGAAGTGGTGTAAAGTATCCAAAATGCCAAAACAACTTAACAGTCGGTGTAAAGAGCTCATATCATTGAATATCTACCAAAATCAGGTGTTTTTATTCAGAAAGGAATTTAATTTTACAACAAGTTTATTTATTTTTAATATAATGGTATTATAGTAAATGGTAGGTATATATAAACAATTTATTTTATTAAATTTATTTGCTTAAAAGAAAATGTGCAAATTCTGGCAACAGCGCACAGCTCCAGATCGATGACGTGCATCGGGTTTTATTTGGTATCCACTATAGGAGCATCCGCTAGGGAGAAGTGGGCTCTGAAAGTACGTCTCTTGCATTTGTTTCATTCCATTTGACAGAATTTTATAGATTAGCTCAGACCTCACTACTCAGAATTTAGTGAAATATGGAGACGAAGTTAGCAAGGACGAAACAGCTTTATCATATTTGAAAATCGGTCCAGTGGGGGTGGACCTATGAATAAAAGACACTAAATCTCAGAATGTCCCCAAACTTCGTTCTTCGAATGTATCGTTATTTTTGAATGTAGTCGAAACGTCTATTTGGGGGGTGGGATATCAACATTTAAGATATTCCCAAACTTCCAAAAATAGTAGAGAGTTTAAAAAAATCAAATCAGTTTCTTATCTTCCACTCATCGAAGTAGTCGAATTACTTTAATTTTAATATATTTTAATTTAACATCTTTCAGAAGTTCTTCCAAAAAAACAATTTTTCAGTAACCTACTTTATGGGTCCTGGAACTTCGCAAGGAAGGCCTATTATTATTGAAAATTTTCACTTAATATTTTTTGCCTATCCTGAGTTGTCGTACGAATATACTTACAATTGATCTGCACGAGCCACATAGCATCGCACACACCCCAAAGGCCAGCAATGAGGAAGAACGGCACCGGTTTATCGGCGGTAGGTCTCCAAACAAGCAAGGTGATGATAAGGGCGGCATGAAGGACCAAAGCGAGGCAAACCAGTGGTGGGCGGCCCAGCGTTCGGGCTATGCCCCCCGCTACCGCTGAGGCTATAGCGTCACATACACCGAAGGCTACCATCACGAAGCCCACCATCGATACTGACCAGCTGCATGAAACGAACGCCTGCAAGTCGTATATCGAAAATTAATAACATAATCAATAAATTATATTGAAACCTAAAATGGCGGCAGATGGCACTTCGATGCATGCGACTTTTTTGTCCACAAAAAAATACGTTTTTTGGGTTTTTTTAGGGTTAGGGAAAGGATGGTATAAAAAGATGCAAAATACGATTGATAAATGTATCGATTGTTTCTCTACCATCGGCGGAGGGGGGAGGGTGCCTACCCCTTCCCACTAGGAATCCAGTTGGACCTTAGAACTTGCATGTTTAGCATAATTTTGTATACAATTTACAATCTTTCACTAACAATGTTCTCTATCCCCCTCTAAAAAAATTCCTGCAGGCGCCCATGTTTTCTACCAGCGAATGTATCAATGTAGATAAAACTATTTTCATAAATTTTACCCAGAGAACATCGCAAAGTAATGAAAGCCACGTTCTTAAAATATCTGGCAACTCTATAACATATTCAATCTATGTTCTAACGTTACTACATTATGTTATGGTTCGACTCAGATTTGTAATGAAACTGTTTTCAAATTGCCAAAAAGTGGTTAAGAAATACTTTTTTTTGTCACTACGAACTTCCTGCAGGCCAGTTTTCAAGGAAAATCGATTGCTGACACTGCCCTCTATTTTTCTAATAGAATTGCTTATGTATGTGAAGCAAAAATTGCATGATCAAACGAACATACATGTAAGTGATGTCCGATCTTAATTATATATAAGTAAGTAAATATAATAGATAATGTAGTACCCTCGTATCTCACCAAACCCACGAGTTCAAAGCGAGCACGCAGCGAAGGAAAACGGCTCACCACACCTGTCCTCTGTCCAGCCTCTAGCCTACAAACTCTCATTTTCTTCAAAGCCAAGTTGTTGCAACAATTGGGTGAAAAATATGGAGCGAGGGAGCTATTTACTTCGATGAGGACTTCACATAATATTTTCCGTCCTCGTCGAAGTAAATAGAATAGATAATGTAGATGTCCAAAGCGAGTTGCGACAACATACTACTACGCTCTGGGATAGTAAACGATAGGTGGTACACAACTACACAAATTGTACGCAATGTATGTGTCAACTAAATGTGCGTTTCCATTGTAACAAATCAAGTTAGAGCTTTTAACAACAGGTAATACGACGTGTATAGGTTAAAAAATTTCCATCCGTTACATGGTAACAAGCAAGTAACGTAATAACATAGTTATGTATAAGGTGTGGGAGTTTGTAGGCTAGAGGCCGGAGAGAGGACAGCTGCGTGCGCACTTTGAACTCGTGGGTTTGGTGAGATACGAGGGTACTACATTATCTATTCTATTTACTTCGACGAAGATGGAACATAATTTAGTATTAGTGCTGATTTTCATGAATGCAACACTCATCATAATAGTAATTTCCTGTTTCCAGTTCATAGCTCTACTTTGTATAAGAAAAGCACTGATTATTTACAGTTTGAAGCATACAACAGACTGCATTCTACTTCTAGGAGATGTGAGGAGTCTCGGTAGCTCGGTAGTTAGAGCGTGGATCTAACAACTCAGCGCTTGGGTGTTCAACTCTCCCCCTTGGATGTTCTATTCCGTGCCATAGATGTTGTGTTGTTGTCTATATCACGCACTTGGATGCAAAATTAACGATATGTATTTTGCGTATATGGAGCTGCTTTATTATATCACTTACCAGTAAATGGCTCGTGGAATATTAAACTGACGGTACTACGAAGTTGGCAAAAATGACAAAAAGTGGCCTATTTTCCCCTCTTCACCTCCCACTACCAGTACTACTTACAAGAAGTAAAAATTTTTGTTTTGAAAATAATTCGCTCATGCAACAGTTCCCTTGAACCGCCAGTGCGTCGAGCAGGCTCGTATAAAATTTTCTTGCAGGAACTCAGTATTTTTGTGTTGTACGTGAACTCAAGAAGTTGCCCAATACCCAATTTATATTGCAGAATTGTAATATGTAATAGAACTTTGATGAGCTCGAAATATAAAAATGACTTATTGACGAGAGGAAAAGTTGTTCTACTTTACATTTCAGAGCTCAAGGTGAATGTAAACTTACAGCTGTATAATCTGCGGCAAGGAAAGCTTGTTCAGCTCCAATAAACATAGTTATAGGCAAAATGAGCAACTGTTTCAAATCACCGAGTTGTCTTAGAGTTACAGCCAATAATTTCACGCCTGATGGTCCTTTTTTCTCCTCGCTTTTCCTATTCTTGTCGTACCTTGAACATAATACAATCATATTAGTATGCAAATATATTATTTGAATAAGAAATACACGATCAATGCTGAAAAATAAAGTAATTAATAATGTACATTCAAATGAAATCCTTTCACTGTTATTGTTATTAAACATATGTACTACATGTCGAAAACTGAAAACAAGCAATGAAATCGGAGTAGCACGAGAAGTACAGACATGCTGCTTAATGCTAGGACTCTAGTTTTTTGCGTAAGTATGATGATGTCACTCTTGCTGCCTGTCGTCACCAACCAACGAATTCAGACTAGGTAGAAGGATCTGGTTGTCTCTGTAATGATGATTAAAGTGCACTTGACGTAAGTCAATTTTTTTACAGTTCTGCCATTCAATTTCTCTTTTTAGTGTTATTTTAAAAAAATGCGAGTGTTTGCAGATAATTGTGGTATTAGACGATTTCAAGACATATTACTTCTTACATAATCTGAAAAGAGCGACACGAGCCTAATAAAGGTAGATATTTCCATCGGTAAGTATTATTATGTTAATTACAACGCTGTCACCTTGTTAGACATTGGAAGAAAAATGACTCAAAAGAATACACTGAAACTACGCACTTTTAGCGACAAACAATGCAATGTAAGCACATAGGGTTGGCCCTCTTATCTATCTGAACTTGTTGGTCGCCACTGACATCAAACAGCTGACCTGACACCAGTAATAGATATCAAATTACAACGCCTAAAAGCTTCCACTCACTTTTATAGTCAAATAGTTGTGTCAAGCAACATTCCAAGATGAAGCGCCAGTTTCTGTTAAAGTGTTGCCGGAAGGTTGTTAAGCCATGTACAGATATGTAACAACAGCGCGAACCGAACCACGCTACGAACCGCACCGCGCGCATTTTGACAAACAACATTGCAACGAACATCACCACAAACCGAACGAAGTCATGCAACCACATCGCGCAACAAACTGACGATCCAATTTTGATGTTTGTCGTTCAAAGAAAGACGAATACTAGCGTAAATGGATATAGCAGCAGCAGCAGCTGCCTGTATTTATGTTCACTACTAATTATCTAAAAACAAGCGACGGCGTCGTCCGGGACGATGGTGGCAAACGCAATTATATACCAATAGATCAGCACACGGCTGCAACAATTTGATAGCGGATTTAAAATTTCAACAAGTGGACAGTACAAAAATTTTACGAGGACGTCTCCGACGGATTTTGGATATCTTCTCACGTTGATTGGACCAAAAATACGAAGACAAGATACAAAATGGAGTGCTGCCATTTCAGTACAAGAAAGACCGGTAATTCATACAGTAGTTTGCAATACATGTTTCGAATTTCAAAGCAATCGATCACCTACATCATTCCAGAAGTTTGTGAGGCAATGATCGAAGTTTTAAAGGAAGATATACAAGTAAGAAAAATAATTATTCTACTTCCAAGTACATTCCAAAATAACACATTGGTGCTTGCAGCACCGGTATGCCTGTCCAAATATGTGCAACTTCGTCGCGAGCCATTCCTTTGATGTTGCGCTGAAAAACCGACAGAGCCTGGATCGGGCCGAACGGCGAGCTGTAAGCGCGGTTTCACACACACCGATATTATCGGTGTCGTTATCGGTATCGGTATCGGTTTGCCTAACAAATACATTGCCTTAAATGAATAGTTTTACACAAAAACCGACCCGATAAATATATCGGTGGCCGTGTTCGATATCGTTGCGTCTGTCGGATGGTCGAGTTAAAATTGGCCAGTAAATTATCGCCCGGTTTAGTACGCAATGCAAACTAAATAGGCACATTCACACGTTCCGACTTGTCGTTATCGGTGTGTCATATCACTTTTGAAACTCAGTGTCGCACGAGTAGTTTGGCGTATTGACTGGTTGCTGGAACACGGGTTATACTTAATATGAGTGTGACTAAATTTAATTACGACATTGTTACACTCATTGAATTGGTGGAAGCAAGGCCCTGTTTGTGGAATAAATTTTCCGAGACTTACAAAGACAAGATATTGAAAAAACGTGAGTGGAAAGAAGTGCATAAATACCTTGAAGCCAATTTCGATAATTTAAATGAACAAGAACAGCAAAAAATTGGTAAGTGCATGTTTTTACCTGTATTTATTCACATTTACAGCCTACGTTACAGATCTAGGTTAGTACATATGTACCTATTTGAGCTTTAAACTTAAAGAACACTTGCCTAAATGTAAAAGTAATATCTAAGTATAAAGACATTAAATAGAACCAGAAGCAGTAACTTATGCGCTAAATTTAAGACATTTGCCATGGTAAGGATCCCTCTGGACTTACAAAGAATTCTGCAAATTTATCGCGAACATCATTGGCAGCTCGTCCACCGCGACATGCTGTAGTTGGTGGTAGATTTTGTAGCTCTCTGTCTGGTGCGTACATATCTTCTACACGAGTGCCATCTTTTTCTCGAACTAGGTTGTGCAAAATTATGCACGCTTTAACAATATCTTTTGCGTACTCCTTACCAACATTTATGGCTCTGTGAAATATTCGCCACTTATTCACTAATATACCGAACGAACATTCTATTACCGTCGCGCTCGACATAAGCGATAACTGAAAATTCTTTTATTAATATTTAAACTATGGCCCCCATATGGCCTAAGTAAATTCTGGGAAAGTGCAAATGCTTCGTCTCCAACTAAGACGAATGGTAGATTGTCTCCTGTTGAAATTAGGGGGCTTGGGTGGGGAATATTCAAGGCATTTTGTTGTAATAATTTCCAAAACACGGTTTCTTTAAATACTGATGAGTCGCAATCCTTACCAAAGGCACCTATGTCTACGTATATAAAGCGGTAATTAGAATCCGCAATAGCCATTAGGACTATCGAAAAAAAATGTTTATAATTCAAATTCATCGATCCACTGCCTGGAAACTTCATAATGCGGACGTGTTTCCCGTCCACAGCTCCTATGCAGTGCGGAAACTGAGCATTTCTTGTAAATCCATCAGCAATGTCCTTCCAATTTTCTACTGTTGGAGTTGGAAGATATTCATCTTTCAAAATATTCCAAATACTATGACAAACATCTTTTATAATCTTGCTTATGGTTGAAACTCCTAATCTGTAGGCATAATGCATATCCGTGAACGTGTTTCCACTTGCCAAATATCTGAAAAAAATATCTATGTATACCATCTATTTCAGGTGACGCTATTACAACAAAGTGGCAAAATATAAGAGATGCGTTTGTTAGATCCCTTAAGAAAAAGAGTGGACAGGGTGCACAACGAAAATATGTTTACCATGATCAGCTGCAATTTTTGTTACAAGTTATGAATAAAGATGAAACGATCTCTAGTATTTCGGATGAGGAAGTGCACCAAGGAGAAGAAACTGAAAATTCAAATGAGGTCCCACCTACACCAGCAATATCTAAAGCCAGTTCAAGAAGTTCCCATGCAAGTAAAACTCGCCAAGGCCGCAAGAGGCTTGCAGACCCCATTGAATTGGAAATTAGGAAAAAACTAAATGAACCTTCCAATGAAGATGAGTCATTCTTCAATTCCGTTGTTCCTATGATAACAACAATGTCAGAAGAGGAAAAAATTGAGTTTAGGATGGGAGTACTGCAGCTAATTCAAAAAATTAAACGAAATCGTCACATAAGCACCTCTAGCATCACCTTTTCTACTTCTCCTGTGTCTGATTTCTCTGCAGTCTCATCTCCGTCATATACTATTCTACAAGCAGCAAACCCATCAACGACAAACTATCAGTCGTTTTTTCAAGAAGGGTCATATATATCAACAAGTAGCACCTCACAAGATGTTTCACAACATTGCCAAAATAGTGTATGAATTATTTTTATTGTCAAAGATAAGTTTATGTAAGAATTTTTATATGTTATGTTACTTTAAATGCAAATAAAGAATTTCCTTAATCACTTACCTCAGTGTTATTGCCAGCATTTCTTTTGGAGGTACACATAATCTCATTTGAGTATCTTGTCTTTGTAAGCTACATGATAACTTTTCTAGTAAGAAGTCAAATGTAGCTGTGCTCATTCTGAAGTAGTTAAAAAACTTTTCATCATGCTCGCGCAATTTTTCAAACATTGTATAAAATGCTCCTTCTACATATTTTTGAGATAATATGGGATGGACCCAATATCGTCTTCGTCTTTTTTCTCGACACTTCTTTTTTCGCAAATACAGCAAATATAATAAAAACACAGCTTTTTTGTTCATATTAAATAATAAACTGTTCCGAGACGCTACACACACCGCACTGATCCCTGGCCTTTTATGAAAGACGGCGCAAAGTTTTACTTTTTTATCGGTGTGTAAGAAAGCACTCTCCGATACCGATTCCGATAACGACACCGATAATATCGGTGTGTGTGAAACCGCGCTAACGCTAATCAGGTTCGCGACGGCGTTCTTTTCACCGTCTACACTAGCGCGGCGCGGTTCGTCGCGTGGCTCGGTTCGCGGTGTTGTTATATATCTTGTACATGGCTTTAGAAATGATAATATACTTAGGTATAATATGGTTCAAAAATACCTGCTCTAGTTAGGAAAAGTAATGGAAAAGAATCAGGCGGTTTTCTTATGGAAAATGTTAAAATTTCGCCTAGAAGTAGTTTTCAACCTAGCGAGCAAAAGTTAAAACCCCCTCCGTTACCCCAACAGAACTCAGAAACCCTCAAGTAGGGCTTATTAATAGATAGGGGAGCCCAACATAAGTTTTAAAATGATATTACTAGAGAAGAAGTAAAACATACTGTTGGTAAGATTTCCCCTAGACTGGCCAATGTTGATCATGGATTTGACCTTGACAGTGACCTTGAGGGTCAAGGTCAGGTCAATTTTTAAAAGTCGTATATCTTGATTTTTACCTGAAAAATGGACAAAGCTGAACATCTACTTTCATTAAGTAGTACCCGAGCACTGCGAAAACGCAATATTTGAAGGTCATGGTCAGGGAATCCCTCGGAGACGAAGAAAGGAGGGGTGCCATGGGCAACCTCTATGCGAAATTTCAACAAATTTATCCGAAAGCCAGTTTCCATAAGGAAACTTCCTTGTTCTTTATATTTCTTGCTACTTAGATAGTAAAAAATAGCGTTAGACAGGGTAATCAGCTTGACGTCTAACAGCTATCACAGCTGCCATATGACCTCAAATATTTTGACAAAAACAGGAATGGCGTCACTAACGCAGGTTCGTGGATTACTCCCTACAAGTTGACTCGTCCAGAGAAGTACATACACGGTCATCTTTTCTTAAGATTGATCGTATTATCTATGCATAATTATTGTATTGAGCAGCTTATTTCGGAACACTTACCTGTCAGAAGGATCAACAGCTACCACTACCAAGCCTGCAGCAAAAAGCATGCAGGCCAAATAGATGAGAGCAATAGTCCTGATTTTCTCTGGGGAAGGAGGTGCGAGTACGGGACCCAATGCATCTTCGGAAGCCGTTGTCACTACGTTATCAGGGCAGAAGTTGGCGCCACAAGCAGCCAGTACTATGTCCAAATTGTTGCTGCTTACAGACGAGTTGGTGAAGATTGAAGTTGTGGCGTTAGAAATGATCTCGTCACCCCCAGATGATAGAACTGAGAAAAAAATGGCGTCAAGCAGATTGATTCTGGCCTTCCCACGCAACGCTGTCATCAGTTCATAAAAGATTGTGTTCGGTCCGAGTTAGTCCCTTTAGCTAGCTTACAAACATGTATAACAAAAAAATTAAATGTGCCATGTCAGCCGAACAGGCCCATAACCAATTAGTACATACTTCGTGGGCCCCATTGATTTGATAACGCTAACGCTAGTTTCTTCCTTGCCCTAAGTATGGGCCATCCCTGCCGATGATGCTGTCAAACGCAAGGCAGGGTTCTGCGTATGGAAGTCGATGGTACGTCGCAGTGTCCCGCGTGTCGCATTTATATTTCTGTGATAACGGCAAATCTTTGATGTGTGACATATGTGATGATAAATGCGTAAAATTACTGCGGCTGGAAGCATATGAATATACTACCGCCTAAAAAATTAGGTGTAGCCCCCCCCTACAACCCTACAACCGCCAGCAGGCGTGTGAAGTAAAACACGAATGTTATGAAAAAAATGTACCACATTTAAATTGCCAAACTTTTTACAATACAAGATTTAATATTAAATTTCGAAAAGTATCTCAAGCATGTCAAGGTACTGTGATTATTGATCTATAGTCTAACGGAAAACGTTTGAATTTGAGGTATATGCGAATATGCAATAAAATGCAAAGTGTTTCTTAAACATAGGACAAAAATTCAAAGGATGGTTCTTTGGACTACTTCAGGACTCTTTTGTCCTTTTGACAATTTTTGGTATACCGCTATATAAGTTTTTGTCAACACTAAACATATCAATACGTAATAAATACCTATTTCTAACACAGCCGGTCAGATGACAGATTGTGGTAGGTAACGGGACACATACTTGTAACAAGTATTACTCAATATAAACCAAATAAAAGTAATAGATTATAATATTAACAAAATTAATAATAAAATTCATAAAGACAAATGATGACTTTTGGACAACACTATAAAATTCAACATTTTAACAACATAGTAACTGATTGATGCCTCACATTAAGCTGTCCTTGAAAAATAATTCGGCACAGACACCTTGTTCAATATCGGTTCAGAAATGGTATATGTCCCTCAGCTGAAGAAATCAGTATTTTACATTGGGCTCTTTTTTCTTTTCTTCTTCTTTTTTTTTTCGCTGTAT